TCCAACTATTCAAATGTAATGTCAATCAACATCTCCAGTTGCCTTGATCTATCCACTATCCTTCTCCTCATCCTCTACTCTATCATTCCTATCTGCTCTCACTACAAATCCTCTGTAACCCCTTGTGTGCTAGTGGCTTCCCACCTTGCTAGGGCTGATATGTTTTAAAAATATACATATATATATATATATATATATATATATATATATATATATATATATATATATGAAGAAAAATATACAGAAAAAATTAAACAAAAATCTTAATATGCAATTATGCTGTATTAATGTTAATATAAAGTCAACGTAGATATTTTAATATTTTGAAATCATCTTTGAATACGTTTTCACAACATCGCCCACGTGATGACAACGTGATCATATTTTAAACGAACACTGATCTTATATAAAAATTTCAGTTATCTGTTTGGATTAGTTGTGCTCTTATGTCCATCGTCTTTTTCATGTTGAATTTTATATGTTCTAATGTTAATTATGTTTTTATGAATATGTCCTGATGATGGTCTAAAATAGACTGAAACGTCCGACGTTGACTTTATATTAACATTAATACAGCATAATTGCATATTAAGATTTTTTTTGTTTTTCTGTATATTTTCTTCATACTGTCGGATCTATATCCATATATTTGTTTTATATATATATATATATATATATATATATATATATATATATATATATATATATGTGTGTGTGTGTGTGTGTGTGTATATGTATGTGCCTCTCTTTCCTTTCTTTTTTGTTTATTCCCTTCACTTAAACTAAACAATATTTATAATTTACACTATTCAGTCTGTTATCCCCATCTTTATAATCTTTATAATAATACAACCCGAGTGAATAATAGGATAAGGAACAAAAACACACTCTCTCTTTCTCTCTGATAAAAATGTTTGAATGCATTTCAGTTTGCACAAGACTAAAGATCCAGATAATTTACCTGGATTATAGTAAATGAGCCCTTCAGCTGTGGGTTAAATAGTAGATCAGACTGGACTCTTCAGCCTTGGTTGTCAACCAGTCTATGAAAAGGAAAACTTTGAATTTGTGGGAAAAGACATTATCATCTAAGGAAAGGAAAACAGAAAATTAATCCCTGTGACAATTTGAATACAGAAATCTCCCTAGAACTCTTATAGCAAGAGGCACTAGGCAGATGGAATGGCATGCCATAGTAAATAATCACATATACACATTAATATATGCTCAGGTTCTAAATTAAGGGATGTATCTATATTATCCCGATCCCATATTAATACACTGTATATCCTTTTGATTTCTGACATGCATATAATTGTATAGATGTTAAATACCGTCTTGCAGTGCAATATTTTTACCTCTTGTACCTTGATGCAATAGAGAAGGATTTGTTATTGGGCTAACAACTCTGACCCTGGTATTATCCCATCATGTCTTACACACGTTTAAAGGGGGATACATCTGGCAATTGTGACAGCTAGAGAAGATGTCAAATACCTTGCAGAGCATGTTGAGTAACATGAGTGTTATGTGGGCATCCATTGTGCTACTGGAATAGCAGATCAAATTCCTGTTGCAATAGAATAGGTTAATCAAAATTCAGGATAGGCACAGTAGGGAAGCTAGAGTGTGTCACCCAAAGCAGCCCCTGAAATTACCAGCCCTTCCCTTTATATCTGGCCCTGACAAAAAATACAACATATTGCACAGTGACTCCTTCTCATATATATATTAAAAAGAGGGGAGAAACCGCAAATGTTTTTATTTGTAATGTGGATTTTATGGAAAATAAAGCATAATATCTACATTACAAAAAAATTTACATTACAACCAAAAATGTTTTCAGTTTCTCCCTTCTTTTTAATATACACACTTTTCTCTCATTGAAATTACTATAACCTCTTTCCTTTTATATATATATATATATATATATATATATATACACACACACACACACACACACACACACATATATATATATAACTATTAACAGGCCAAAACAATCAAAAATAGTACAAGACATACCTTCAAATGAACTTAGGAAAATAACTGAAATTTATATGATAACAACCAAGATGTGACGCCTACACACAATAGTGCTGTAGCATTAAAAGAAGGCAACATGCATCTATTCCGGGTTTCAAACTGTCATCAATGACAAAACACCCCTGAATGTGTAATAATGAATAATGTTTATTGTTTAGCCAAGATAACAATCACTTAAATACATATGCCACAGTTCGAGTTACTTAAAATTGAAAAGTTCCTTCAAATGTGAGTAGTGTCCTGACATTAAAACCACTTTTATTTCAATATAGTCTCTACAGCAGACCCAAAAGTGCCACCTCATTAAGTGTTGTCTGAGGTAAACTTCTCCTGCCTCTAGCTACGCTACTGGATATACATGTTACAGTTCAATGTTCCTTTCAAAGACACCAAAGTTGAGTGAGAATTGTAACTTCTGTCACTTCATATATCATAAAGAGATAATTTGAACCTG